CAGCCACTCCTCGGAAGGAAGATGGGGCAATCTACTTCCGTAGTGATACTGCCTCGGAAACCCAAGGAGGGGTCACTATGAGTCGGGTCTGACTCGTTGGCACACAACGACAACAAATACTTACAGGAAGGATCCCTGATGGTACAATGGTTTTTGCAAATGGGACAGTTTTTGGCTGTTCGAACCTACCAACAGCTCTGTGGGAGAAAGATGGGATAGTCTGCTTCCATAAAGATTTTACAGCCACAGAAACCACCTGGGCAGTTCTACTCTATCCTGTAGGGTCACACTATGAGTGAGAACCAATTCAGTGGCAAAGGGTGTACTTATACTGCTCCCATAAATATATGAAGACTTTTCCAAAAGAGTAAGGCAATGTCATGAGGGAGAAAAATCAAGAAAATGGATTTTATTTATTTGTTTGTTACTTTACTGGTGTGATTTAGTCTCAGAAAGATTCTAAGGAATACATAGTTTGAAACTTTTTAATCCAGTGTAAATTTTTAAAAAGAAAATGGAAAGAAAGACTGAAGAACTTTGGAGAGACAAAGATGTAATCAAATCTATTTTGCCTGATTGTATTGTATTTCCTCTGAACATCCCCCACCCCCTGCCTGTTAAAAGAAAAAAATTCTAGGCTTCAGAATTTATTTGGACTGTTTTCTTTAAAAGTATTTTCAAAATTTGAGACCAGCGTGTAACAATGGTTCAGGGGAAAAAGAAGTTTTTTTTTTTTTCTTTCCCTTGGTTAGTAAAATGAAAACCAAACTCCTTGCTGTTGAGTCAATTCTGACTCATGGCAACCCCATTTCTTACAGTGTGGCAGTGCTGCATAGGGTTTTGTTGGCTATAATCTTCACAGAAGGTTACCAGGCCTTTCCTTTGCAGTGCCTCTGAATGGGTTCACAGTGCAAACATTTAGGTTAGTTGTCGATCCAGACTGTTTGCACAACCCAAGGGTAGGGAAGAGGTAACATCCCTTTCAACACTTACTTCTTTGTAGAAGATTAGATGTTGTTGTTGTTGTTATGTGCCACTGAGTCAGACCCAACTCATAGCGACACCTCCTTGGGTTTGCGAGGCAGTTATCACTACGGAAGTAGATTGCCCAACCTTCTTTCCAAGGAGAGGCTGGTGGGTTTGAACTACCAGCCTTCTGGTTAACAGTTAAGTGCCTTAGGCACTATGCTACCAAAGCTCCTGAAGATTAGATCGTCATTGTTAACATTTCTTTCATAGGAATTTGTTAATTTTAAACAGAGTAACTTTATTATTCAGTAGAGAAAATACTTGAGAACCCTTTTCTCTGCAGTTCCATTTGAGCCAGGATTCTCAATCTCTTTTTAAGACATTTTATATTCTGTTAAATCCCCCTTTTTTGGGTAAATTTTATTAAAATGACTTCTTCAGTGGGTGCTGCTCAATAAATGCTCATAAATGCTCATTAGATATTGTAGTGACTGTTCCCCCCTCCTTCTTACGCTGTCATTGACTTAAAAAAATAATAATTTTATTGAGACAGAATTCACATGCAATTCACTCATTTAAAGTTGTTTTCAGGTGTATTCACAGTGTTGTTCAACCATTACTGTAACCAAGTTTAGAACATTTCATTATCCCAAAAGAAACCCTGTGACCATTAGCAGTCACTCCCACATTTTTCCAAATACCCCTAAACCCTAGGCAAACACTAATTAGTTTCTATTCCTATAGATTTGCCTGTTCTGGACATTTCATAAAAGTGGACTCATAATATGTAGTCCTTTGTGACTGGCTTCTTACACTTACTATAATATTGTCAATGTTCATCTAGTACATATTGTAGTATGTATTAATGTTTCAATACCTTTTTTGTGAGTTATATTCTATTGTATGGCTATAACACATTTTATTTATATGTTCATCAGTTAATGGGCATTTGGATTATTTCTGATTTTGGCTGTTACTCATAATGCTACTATGATCATTCAAGTGCACTCTTTTGTTTAGACATATCCTTTTATTTCTTCATTCTACTGAGAAGTGGAATTGCTGGGTCATTTATTAGCTTTATTTTTAAGTTTTTTGGGAACTGCCAGACTGTTTTTCAAAGCAACTGTACCAATTTATAATCTCTCCAGCAGTGTCTATGAAACTTCTAATTTTTGCACATCCTCACAAGCACTTAAAATTTGTTTTTTGTTTGTCTGTTTTGGTTTTTATTATAATCGTCTTAGTAGGTATCTCATTGGAGTTTTGACTTGAATTTCCCTGGTGGCTAATTATGTTTAGCATCTTTTTATGTGCTTTTTGACCATTTATATCTTCTTTGGAGAAATATCTATTAAAATCTCTTGCTTATTTTTATCATTGAGTTGTAAGAGTTTTTTATAGATTCTAGATATATGTTTCTTATCAGATAATATGCTTTGCAAATATATTTTCCCATTCTGTAGGTCTTTCACTTTCTTGATAGTTTCTATTGAAGTATAAAAGCTTTTAATTTTGATAGAGTCCAATTTATTTTTTCCTTTGTCACTTACAATTCTGGTGTTATATCAGAGAAGCCTTTGCCTTACCCAAGGTCATGAAGATTTACTCCTGTATATTTTTCTAAGTGATTTATAGTTTTAGCTCTTACATTTAAATGTACAGTCTAATCCCAACACTATGGGAGAGAGATACAATAGAGCTACTACCTCAGGACCATAGTACTGGGGTACACCAGACTCAGTTGGCACAACCAAATACATAAAAGTGTTGCTCCACATCCTACATTGGTGAGTAGTGACTGGAGTCTTAAAAGCTTTCAAGCAGCCATCTAGGATGCAGCTAATGGTCTCCTAGCATCAGAAGTGAAGAAGAATGCACACACAAAAAATGGCCCTTGAGACCAGAAGAACCGAATGGCGCCTGGCTACCAATGCCAACCGCTCAGGAAAGGATCAAATCTGGAGATCCTGGATAGAGTGGGAGGGAAAACCTGGAACAAAATCCAAAAACTCAATAATGACCAGAATTACTGGTCAGATGAAGTCTGGTGAGAATCCAAATACTATGGCCCTGAAATACATTTGTTGTTGTTGTTATTTGCCGTCGAGTCGGCCCCAACTCATAGCGACCCCTCCTTGGGTTTCCGAGGCAGTATCACTACGGAAGTAGGATTGCCCAACCTTCCTTCCGAGGAGTGGCTGGTGGGAAATACATTTGGCACCTGGAATAAAACTCACCCCCAGGGGCGGGCTCTCAGCCCAATAGTTAACAAGATGTACACGCAGACCACTCAACCCGGGATGCTGCACACACACACTCAGTGGTAATACATCTCTTAAAGCAGTAGACATGGGACACTGAAGGACCAACATTCAAACTGAGGAAATATAGGACAAACAGGAATACATAATTATGAGGGGCACAGGGGGAGTGTTGCAGGGTAGGGAGGGGAGGAGACTGGGTTAGGGATGGACATGGTGAATGGGGAATGAAACTAAATGTATGCATGACTTTGAATGTAAAACAAGCTCTTAAAATAAATAAATAAATCTACAGTCTATTTTGAGATAATTTTTGTGTATATGTGCAGCAAGGGTCCAACTTCATTCTTTTACATGTAGATATCTAGTTGTCCCAGCATCATTTGATTAAAAGATTATTCCTTCCAAATTGAATTGTCTTGACACCTTTGTTGAAAATCAACTTAACAAGCACATGAGTTGTTTTTCTGAAATTTCAGCTCTGTTCCATTGATCTATATGTATACCATTATGTCAGTATCATAATATCTTGATTACTATTCATATTGGCAAGTCGGAGTTTTCCTACTTCATTTTTTTCAAGACTTTTTTTTTTTTTTTGTGGCTATTCTGGATCTCTGACAGTTTCATATTGAATTTTAGAATCAGTTTTCCATTTAACAAAGAAAATACCTGGGATTCTCATAGAGATCGAGTTGAATCTGTAGATAAATTTGGGGAATATTGACATTTTAACAATATGAACAGAGGATGTTTCTGCATTTATTTAGACCATCTTTGATTTCTTTCAACAGTGTTTTGTCGTTTTCAGAGTGTATGTTTACTAAATGTATTCCTATGCATTCTTTTTGATACTATTATAAATGGAATTGTTTTCTTAATTTCATTTTTGGGTTATTCATTGCAAGTGCATAGACATAAATAAATATAAAATTTATTGTGATTTCTTGTGTTTTGTTTTATACTTTTTTTATGTTGTTCTTGTATTCTGCAACTTTGCTGAACTCATTTATTAGTTCTATTAGTTTTTCAATGGATTCATTTGGATTTCCATATACATGGTCATGCCATCTGCAAACACAGATAGTGTTACTTCTTCCTTTCCAATCTTGATGCCACTTAATTTCTTTGTCTTGCCTAATTACCTTGTCTAAACTCTAGAGCAATGTTGAATAGAAG